CCCTGCCCGGGGGGAAGGAGGGAGGGGGGGAAAGGCCCGGGCGAGGTGAAGCCGCTGCCGCCATGTTGTGAGAGGGCAGCGACGCGCCGCAGCGCGCCCCCTGGCGGCGGGGAGGTAGCGGCGCCTCCACCACCGGTGGCTCCTCCCCTTCCCCCGTTCCTACTCCTCCGGGTCCTAAAGACCGCCGGTGCCTTCGGGGCGTCCGAGCCCACGACACCGCCCCCCCGCGCCCCAACCCCGGCACACCGGTGCCCCCACTGGGGATGAGCAGTACCCCACAATTCACGCGTGGGTTCCAGCCCTTCCCTTCCTCTGTTTCCCGTCCCCGTGTAACAGAGCTCGCTCGGTACCCTGGGGTCCATCCCAGCACTGCAGCGCCTCCAGCCCCACAGACACGCAGCCACACGCGCGTTTGCAGCTCCCCCGCACCCCAATCCTGGCACACTGGTACCCCCAGCTCACTGCAGGTGTGCAGCGTGCTGCCCGGGCCTTCCTGAGTGACCCTGGGCTGCACATGTTGGTTTCCAGCCCCTCTGCACTCCATCGCCGTGTAACGATGCTCTCCCGCTACCCTGGGCGTACCCCGGCTGTGCAGCGCCATGCTCAGCACCACGGCGTGCTCAACACAGCGTGGACCCCCCAACACACACAGCCTTGGGCCCCCGCGTGGGCGGCAGCTCCCCTGCACTCCAGTCCTGGCACACGGCTACCCCCGGTGCGGTGCGGATGAGCAGCACGCTTCCCGCCGCCCCAGCCTTCCCACTGGTGGAAGACCACATGGCGTATGGGGTGGGGGGTTCCAGACCCTCTGTACCCCATCCCCGTGAAGCCGTGCTCTCCCGTACCCTGGGTTCCTCCTGCACCATGGCATCCTCAGAGCCGCAGGACCCCATCCAAGCAGGGCAAGCCTCGCACACTGCACCCCGTGCCCCGGTCCCAGCGCAGGGCTCCCCCTGAGCAGCACAGTGCCCACTGCCGCAGCCTTCCCACTGCTGCCTGATCCCAGGCTGCCCACGGGGGTCTGCTGCCCCTCTGTGCAGTCCCAGCGCACCAGGTCCCCCCCAGGTTGCCCCTGTGAAGAAAGCTGGGGGCCAGCTCAGCCCCGCTCCTCCCCACCAGCTTTGGTGCCACTCGTCACCCCAAAGCCCCCATTGTGGCATTGGTCTGCGTGAGGTTGGGCCTCGCTCCATATCACACCTCGTGTCACCAGAGCTGCCCTCCTGTGGTGGGGCAGAGCACAGTGCTAGTGACACAGGGATGCGTGGAGCACTTGGCCACCACAGAAAGCCCACTGTGCCCCCAAAAATGCCATAGCAGCATTGCCCGCAGCTGTGGGACAGGCAGGGCTCCAGGCTCACTGTGCACACAAGGACCCCCAGCTACGGCGGGCAGGACTCGCTGCCCAGCCAAAACTAGAGCCAGAGCCTGTGGGGTCACACAGAGCTCCTGCACCCGGGGCCAGCCCTGCACCCGCACCCAGCCGGCTCAACCTGGGTGCCGCAGGGCTGCCGTGACTCAGGGACTTCCTCAAGCCGAGGTGGTGCCGCCATGTTTATTTAATCATCCCCGGCGGATTTTTTACCCGTGAATCCATCCCATTAGGCTTTCAGCCACCTGAATTATCGGCACCCACATCCTGTGGCCGGCAGTGCCAGACCTGGCGCAACGCAGGAGCAGCTGCCTCCTCTGGCACAGACAGGGCGGTTTGCTGTGCCCAGCGCCCCGAGCACCCCGGGACCTCTACTGCTTGGCCACTTGGCCCCTTCTGCTCCCACCGAGGGGCTCCTTTGCCCCCCCTCCCACTGCAGCACCCCACTCTCCACCCCACGCCTCGCACAGCCCATGCAGCAGAGAGCAGGCGGGTGTCCGCAGGTGCCTCCCCCCAGTGCTCTCCCACCAGCCCGGGGCTGCCCGGGGTTGGGGCTGCAGGGCTGGACCTCTGGGGTGTCCCTGTGCACGGAAAGTTGGGCCTCGGGGGCTGCAGGGAGAGGAGAATGGGGAGGGAAGAGCCAGAGAACTGGGAGGGGAAGACCCGGGCACCGGGAGGCGACAACCGGGAGACTGGAGACTGCAGTCGGGAACTGGAGCCGAGAACCGAGATCGGAGGTCGGCACCGGGAGGGGGAGC